GGTGGCACGGATAAAAAATCATATGACATCCTTAGATTACTTATCTTAACATTTTTGAAGGAAGAGATAGTAGCAGCATACAATCGGACCTATATTGAAAATGTTGTGATAATGACGAAATCAACGAGGGTAACGGGCGGTATTGACTGCACAGAAGTAATTTAAAGGACAGAAAAATATAATAGAAGTTTACTGTCAGGGCCTGGGGGGAGGGTATTCGGTTGCTTATGTATGTACAAATTGAAGAAATTTTCATTGCGTTGCAAGGAACGTGGAAATAATGTGACATCTCGCTTAGGGGGAAGTCCAGCCTAAGTCGCGCTCAGAGAATTGGCGAAGCCTTGGACGTGAACGACATACGAAACGACTTATCAAGTCGTATTTATTCAAGACAACCTAGATTCGAATATATCCCTTCACTCATCTCAATGGGATGCCACCCGTCGTCCGCACACAATGCGTGTTAAAGTGGACCTCAAAGGGTGAGCGCGCCCTGCTTCTGAAGCCAGTGCTAGTCCACGTGCAAACCAACGAGGTCACTTCCCAATCGGGGTGGGCCCAGCTGCCCAGCTATGTATTAATAAATTCACCACCATGCAACACTTCGCCTTAAAATAAAATTCGGTTGTTACTCGAGTCCCGAGCGGGCCGAACGCCTGGTGGGTAGGCAACCCATTGTACTCCCGAGCACGGCGGTTTGAAAAGCTTCTAGGCCCTCGGGCGGTAGACCACTCTGGCAGGTCGACCAAATCGTAAAGCAGCTTTGAACGACAATGCTATCACACCCAACGGCATTAGTATCAATCAGCTTTTTGACAGCTTGAGGCAAGGACTCACCTCTCCACAAAGCATACAGCAGGCTAGAACTCCAAGAGACCACCAGTCCACTGCATGTCCATATGGTTCTTGGCTGAGGACCTCTGGGGCTGTAGAAAAAAAAAGGTAATTCAATGCGCAAGGCCTTACGCCATCATTTTTTCAAGCTGCAATACATACAACAGTACATCGATTATACATACCAATATATTGTAATGTGCCACATATAGTTGTTGTTCGGTCCCCATGTCGCAACCACTTTGCAAGTCCAAAATCTATCAATTGGCAGTGTCCATCGGAATCAAGCAGGACATTCTCCATTTTGAGATCACGATATATCACACCTGCATTGTGCAAGAAGTCTAATGCAAGAGCTAGCTCTGCAGTGTAAATTTGGACCAAGTTTTCTGGTAAAACTGTGTGGTGTTTGCAGAGGTCTAAAAGTTCCCCACCACTGACATAGTCACTAACTGGCAAAACAAGATGAATGAGGCTAGAAAGGTTTATGACACTTAAAAATGGAGTACAATATGAAAGAAAGCAATGACTCCTTACCAATGAATAGCTGTTTTCTACTTTGCCAATAGAATGGACAGTTGACAATAAATGGGTTATGTCCACAAGTTGATTGGATTCTTGCTTCATCCTTCACTTGTTGTACAGCACTCTCAGCAATAATCTATGGTACAAAGTGAATTCACCAATAGGAGACTTTTTCAAGGGAGACTACTTGGCTCTCACTAGAAAACAGTACCAGTCATCTGTTCAAAGAGGGTTTTATAAGGTACCTACCTTAGATTTTGATAAGATTTTCATAGCATAATCATTTCCAGTATCAGCTTTCTTTACATGGAAAACCACCCCAAATGCGCCATGTGAAATTGGATTAACAACCTTCCAAATTACAAAGGGCACCACATTCATAAAACTTTTCAAAATTTGAAATAAATAATCATGATAAAGTAAATGAACAGGTACCTGAAAATTTAATTCCGTAACTGGACCCTTAATGTTAAAGTCCGGTAGAAAAATGGCTTCTATGTATGGTACAGGCCATGTAGTTTTGGCTATGTGATAAGGATTATTTAAAGTTGATTCTTTCCACCTGAAACAAGAGACTGGTCATATAACTAATGTAAAACATAACAAATGTAAAACTCACTTTTCAGTTACCTCCTCCTTGAAACTCGGGACCACGGTCTTGAAACACTGTACGCAGACTGCTGACTAACACCACTAATAAACGAACGACCACTCCAGTTATTCGTCAAAGTAGTCAAACTGAACTGAAAAAAGAGGAATCAAAATAAGCACTGCTTAGAACACAATTATTACAAGATTCATCATGAGATCAAAATAAAAATGTCATATGTTTTTGAAAATGAACATATAATGGAAAGTTGTAGAAAAACCTAGTGGTTTTGAACATTAGTAAAGGCAGCTCCGTCATTATTTCTTTAACAATAAATGATCATGTGATAGTATGGTAAAAGGTTATACTGCCACTCCCATTACTTGTACCTGACTAAAATCTTGACGTCGCTTGTTGACTTCGTTTCTTGTCTGACCATAGCAGGATAGAGTTTTTTCATTTGCGTTTCCCATTTATTGTTGTCATTAGAGAACGTAGCTGAGTGGTGGTTTAAAAGTGTTTACAAACATTTGGGACAAATTAAGAAAATTCTGATATTTTGAAAGTCCACCACCTGTTACTCCAGTTGCGAAAACATCCCTCACCCAGCATGCATTGATTCTCACGCATTCAGTAAACTGAAAGAGCATCATAATGCATCAACCTCGTCTATGTATGGTTTAATTAAAAGCAACAATCATATTAAAATTAAGAGAAAAACAGGAAATGTGTAGTTTCTTAATTATATTTCGGATATTAATGGTGGCCAGAATGTAGTGTTGTCTGCTAGCTTTTGTTTTCATTTTCAGTCGCAGTCGCAGCTCACTGTTTTCCTGTTTTAATGTCAAATTTTATCTTTCATCGCATTTGAAGGATATGTCAGCATTTTTAACAGATCTAAGATGGATGATTTAAAAGACAAGTTCTATTATGTGCACAGCTCTTCTGTAGAGAAGAAAGTGCAACTTAAAATGTGGGTATTTCTCTCACAGCAGTGTGTTCGCATTCCCTGCGAAAGCCACCTAACCTAAGTTATTATCATTATTATTATTAACTATTACATACCTAAGGAAGCAATTCGGTTCCTTAGCCTCCTCTTTTTTTTGTAGTTTCTTGCAAGTTTACTTTTAAATTAAATTATCCCCATCAAATGTCAAAATTGTATGTTGTTATCTGTTCTACAGTGGTACCCTAGATGGAAAATGCTTAAAACCTGAATATGATAAATTGCTTGAAAACCCTATGCTGTCCTTTTCTGGTTTGTACAAAGAAAATTGTGCAGATCTAATTGTGGAATGCCAGGTTTTTTCTGAAGGTCGACCCTTAGCTTTGCCAGTCACAACCTCCTACAAGGCATTTTCTTCTCGATGGAGGTATGTGAATAATTTGTTTACCTATTCAGAGGATACTGACATAGATCGTATAAAGAACAAGAAACTTTATTTTCTAGTTGGAATGAGTGGGTTGTGCTTCCTGTCATGTTCTGTGACTTGCCCCGGGATGCTCAACTGGCATTGACAGTGTATGACTGTGTTGGCCCAAGTAAATTGCAACCAGTAGGAGGTACAACTATTGCACTATTTGGAAATCATGGTGTTTTTAGACAGGTAAAAAGTCATATTAATACCACATTTAAAATTAAGTTGTATTTATACCACATTCAAAATTAAGTTGATTTGGTGTGATCTGGTGTTTGTTTTTGTATTTCAGGGTATGCTAGACCTCAGAGTTTGGCCTGATCGTGTTGCTGATGGATCGTTTCCTAGCTGTACACCAGGAAAAGCTCGCAGTCATGGTAAAGAACAGATGCAGAGATTGTCAAAGGTTTGTAGCAATAACCGCTTTACTTCGTTAAATCAAAATGTTTATTTGCACAAATTTTGTAAACCTATGCCATTGTAGCTGTATTTGTACTTAGCTCTTGTATATACATTTCCTAATAGGTATGTCATAGCAAAGGTCCTGCTGTAGTAAAAATCATTTAGTATTTTTCAAAAATATTTAAATTTGACAGTTTCTGGGTTGTTTGCATCAAAAGTAAGATTTGCCAAACATTTATTATTGTTTTCCTGAAAATATTTCAGACATTACCTTTAAATCTCTCGTCAAATAACCAACTCAGGGAATCTTCATCGAAAACTAAGTTATTGAACTGACATTTAATGGTCAAAGCTCTCTTGAAAAACGTTTAAATCAAGAGGGGAAGCAGGAAAGCATGGAAAAGCCAGCCTAGGTCCTGCGATATGGCCATTGTAATAACGGCACACCATGCAGAAAAAAGAGCAGTGCTATTTAACGCTAAATAAAGAAATAAATTACAACGTTTGATCATGTTAGTTCCATATTCCCTATTAAAATTATGCAGACAGATTTCTGTCTAAAGTTTCAGGTCTGAGCACTTCATTACTATGACTCAGGACATTGGCTGTGCAAGTTTGGTGAATCTCAGTTTTGCCTAACACTCCTTAGGGACTGTCGAATTAGTTTGAAACAATTAACATTCTTCAACGGGCTCTTGCCAAATCCAACATTGGCCATCACATAGATAAAATTACAAATCTGTGTCCTCATTCTTACAAATTTACAATGAAAACATGATCTTCTGTATTTCATATTTCCTAATATTCTTCTCTTATCTTTCAGTTAGCTAAAAGACATAGGAATGGATACCTGCCAAAGGTAGATTGGTTGGATCGTTTATCATTCAGGGAAATGGAAGTAATAAATGAGCGTGAGAAACGGAGCTCTGACTTCTTGTATCTTATGGTGGAGTTCCCTTGTATTGAGTTAGGTGGTGTGTCAGTAAGTATATTTTGCTGTGGTATTGAATCATCATCTTAAATATCATCTTTTTTCACCCCTTTTTATACCTGAAACAGCATTCTGTGGTGTATTATGAACCTGATGGTGATAGTGTGTATCCGTTCCAAGCTCAACCAGAAATTGTAACTGTGCCTGACCATGAAATTCTAGAGGTAAATTCTGCCCAGTGAGAAGAAATCTTCAAACTAGATATGAGGCAAAATACTATTAAATTGTTTTGTCTCTCAGGAAAATCTTGTTGAAAGCAAGCATCACAAGCTTGCTCGCAGCCTGAGAAGTGGAATGTCTGACAAAGATGCAAAACCGAATGCAGCAGTCCGGGACACTTTACACAATATTGTTGCGTATCCACCCACTAAAATATTAACCACAGAGGAACAAGATCTTGTGTGGAGATTCCGATTTTATCTTAGCAATCAAAAAAAGGTAACCCATTGCCATTGGCAGTGCAACAATTTTTCCAAGTATTTATTGGATTCTAATTCTTGTAAATGTTTCCAGGCTCTAACTAAATTTTTGCTATGTGTAAACTGGAAGCTTAATGCAGAAGTGAGACAAGCCCTTAGTATGCTAGAAAATTGGGTGCCTATGGATGTAGAAGATGCTTTGCAGCTATTGAGCCCCCAGTTCACTCACCCCGCAGTTAGACGTTATGCTGTTTCACGTTTGCAGCAAGCCCCTGATGAGGTATAGTCTGAAGATGATGTTCTTTTGTAAATTTCTTACTATTTTTTATGATTTGAAATACTATAAGAAGGCATTGTGATGTCATTAAATTTTTGTAGGATCTTCTCTTGTATCTACTTCAATTAGTACAAGCTCTGAAATATGAAAATTTTGATGAAATAAATGCAGGCTACTCAAGAGTTGTGAATACCTATGCATCCCAGGAAGAAAAAGAAGGATCTGCTGTTGTATGTGAATGCAGTACAAGGTAGTCAAACATAAATCCCTCTTAAGTTTTTGTGTCTTTGGAATACTCTAGATCCCTTGTTCTGTTATAATATTATTGTCATTATTGGGTCCACAGTGATACTAGCAGTGGTGGTCTTGCTGATGGGGAGTTATCTGAAAGATCTCATGCTACATCATGTGTCAACAGTAGCTCTAATTCTACGGAGAATCTTGCTAGTTTTCTCATATATCGGGCTTGTCAAAATATCACGCTTGCAAATTACTTTTATTGGTAAGAAGTTTTAGGTTGCATTTATTCTTGCGTTTATTCACTTACACCTTTTCTGTTTCCTGAAACTAATTTGTTGGTTTTTTTGGTGTGTTTTTTTCAGGTACCTTGTAACTGAGAGTGAATCTCATGAGAAAGAGCAGGATGTGGGTATTTATCAAGATAATCCTGCCAGAGAGATGTATCGTACTGTAAAAAAAACTTTCCTTCAAGTAAGTGTGTTTCTAATGAAATGTACTTTGATCAAACTATTTGACCTGCTTATTAGGTTTTGTCTTAATTATTTTTTGTTTCTTAAGTGTGCATCTCTTTTATAATTTGCAGACCTTACAGAAAGGTAATAAAGATTGGCAGGCACGCCGAATGATTTTAGCTCGCCAGCAGTTGTTTATCATTGAGTTAGTAAAACTTGTCAAAATGGTTGCACGAGAAAGTGGTAACCGTAAGAAAAAGGTAAGGCCATCTATTGAATATCGATAAAAACTGCAAATGCAAAGATGAAATAAAAAATACTCTGTAATACTATAATAAACATCAATTATTTACAGATTGAACGCCTACAAGCTCTTTTTGTAGACGCAGAAGCCTTCATGATAAACTTTTCTAATTTTGAACCACTACCATTTCCTCTCAATCCTGATATTCATATCAAGGGAATTGTGGCTGAATCGTGAGTTGGAAGTTTTTTTACCAGTGATATTGTCAACAATTTATTGAACTATCACTTTAGGCATTTTATGTGATTTCAGGGCAACATTGTTCAAGTCTGCTCTCATGCCATCCCGTTTAACATTCCTAACAACGGATAATACAGAATATGTTGCCATTTTTAAACATGGAGACGATTTACGTCAAGATCAACTTATACTCCAGAGTATTTCTCTGATGGACAAGCTACTTCGTCGAGAAAATCTTGACTTGAAGCTTACACCATACCGTGTTTTGGCTACCAGTACTAAGCACGGTATGTACAATAATTTAGGTTTCTGTCTGTATTAAATCAAGTTTACTCTATTGAGTGAGTTCTAAGGGTAAATGTACCTTCTAAAGTTCACTGTATATTGTTTTCTTAGGCTTTGTTCAGTTTATTGATTCTATGCCTGTTGCTGAAGTTCTTCAATCCGATGGATCCATTCAAAACTTTTTCAGAAAACATCATTTTGTAGAGAGTGCTCCATATGGCATTCAACCGGAAATAATTGACAATTATGTCAGAAGCTGTGGTTAGTGTTTGCATGGATGAAATTATTGATGAGCAGTTCAGATCTCAACTTCTAAATCTGTTAATATTTTGATGTTTTAACTCTTGCAGCAGGTTACTGTGTCATCACATATATTTTAGGAGTAGGTGATAGACATCTCGATAACCTTTTACTGACCTCAGATGGAAAGCTATTTCACATAGATTTTGGATTTATTTTGGGACGAGATCCGAAACCACTTCCACCTCCAATAAAGCTGAGCAAGGAAATGGTGGATGCCATGGGTGGTGTAGATTCAGATCACTACCATGAATTCCGTAAACACTGCTACACTGCCTTTTTACATTTGCGAAGGCAAGGCTTAGAATACTGATCTATTCTTTCATTTTCTCACTCTTGAGATTCATAATTGATGAATATTTTCTCTCTTTTTTCAGACATGCCAATCTTATCCTTAACTTATTTTCACTAATGGTTGATGCAAGTGTACCTGACATTGCTTTGGAGCCTGATAAGGCTGTCAATAAGGTTCAAGACAAGCTAAGATTAGACCTAAGCGATGAAGAGGCTGTGCGCTACATGCAATCTGTTTTAGATGTGTCAGTTTCAGCAGTGTTTGCAGTCATGGTGGAACAGTTCCACAAAATTGCTCAGTACTGGCGTAAGTGAATATATCTGTGATATTTAAGTTTGTCAACTCTGCAAAAACAGTTTTCATTTACTGTAAAAATTAAGAAAAATGTAAGACTGTTGTTCAGTTGTATGACTTTGTGCACACAATCCATATTACACTATGTGCACAACAGATGGCTTTACCATTTATGAAGTGTTAAGTACTGATGTGACCAGAGCAGAAGTATGTATCTTAACTTTTCAAACTCTGAAATACAAAATGTGATATTTTATACCAATAATATTAACTTGTTGTACACTTAATTGTGCCCTAGAATTATGTCCTATGTATTTCAATGTAAAAGCGTATGACTGTGGTGACTATATCCGTAGGAGGGCTTGAGATTAGACCACAAAGGACCTTTCAAAAACTTAAAATGGTGCTTTATCATTCACAGATTTGTAAGTACAATATAAAGTTTAATGAATGTAAAAAAGGAACCACAAATATTAAGAAAAAAAACATAACAGGATGTAGGTACAGAAACTAAGGATTTTATTTGAGATCAATTGGAAGACCACAGCTCAACATGAGAGCTACGAAGATATTTTTAACTTGCAAACTTAAACCTAGTATGACTCACTAAAATACAGTGTCAATTTTTAAAATGAGTGAAGTTTGTACTGTTATCTAGAGTTTCCTTCACAGAAAGAAATGTAGTACCTCGAGTAAAAGATTCAGTGAACAAGGTTTAAGAGTAGGGAATTTTATAAATACTAAAATGTAGGTTTAAATATTTCAAAATCATTATCAAATCCCACTTAAATAAAATATCACAATGACAATAAAATAATCTGATGGTAATTGGAGAGCATCGACAAAGTTTCCCAAACAATTTAAAACAGAAAAGGGCAAAACATTTCAAAACACTTACACTAATTACCGAGAGCTATTGTCTCTCGACTTGTAAGTTATTCCGCGACTTTTCATGTCACGTATAACAATAGCAGGCAACTTGCCCGCAACTGAGATGGCATAGATTCCTTTTGAGAATCGACCTGCAAAATCAAATGCATTAACCTACCTATGACGCAAGGCATGCAAATATACACTGAGAAAATAGAGATTGCACACATACTTATTCTTTGCCATTTGGCCACCCAACTGTCCTCAGGGCTCATAACTGCAATCATTCTGAAAAATAATGATAAACGAATATAAATTATAGCCATGATATCATGCTTAACCAACCCATTCAACGATGGTAGACCTACCCGTCAAAATTATTGCTGGTACACACATAAACTTTATCACGATCATTCTTCATGTGTAGAAACTCGTCACAGTTCTCACAACCATCATTTTCAAATTGGTCAACATTCTAAAATGGAAAAATAAAAGAGATTAGAAACTACTTGATCTAAGACGCCGGACAACTTAACCACATTCCTTGTTGTTTACCTTGATGAGTGAACAACTGAGACATGCCCGAAGCTGTCGCAAATCCTTGGGTATGGCGTCCATGGATAGTTAGTATTGAAATATATTACTACGCTAAGGTGAAAGGTCAGTGAAATACAGAAATTTCAGCTATTTTTTCCAAATGTCAAGACAATACTATATACTATGTTGGTTGATGTTTACAATATAAAATGGCGGGATGGTGCGCTCGCGTACAGTGATTTTCTCTTGTCTTCTGACGTCATCACTTTCGTATGACAAATTTAGAAAAAGGAATACATATTCACGTACACATTCGAATTGAGGCGGCGAAGGAGCCGGCGGGGCGCGGGGCGGCCGAGGGGGAGCACCGCACCGCGTAGTGTTGTTATTCTGTAAGTCACTTCCCAACTTTCTGTGCATTGAGGTATCTGCTGCAATTCAGTCAGCTATTTTCGTGATTGCACTTGTGACTAATAAGCCTGTAGACGGCCAGTAAATGGCCAAGGGCGCTTTCTTCCTCTTGATCAAACAATGCCTCTGACATCTGCCGTCGCGATTTTGCCAGAGTTCTTCGTGTAGTGATAGTGCACTCTCCGTATTTCTCTTTCTTCAATAAGTTTTAGTTTATTTACTCATATTAATTTTTGGCAACGTTGGCTATGTCTGTTTTGTTGCCTCTTTTTTGTACTTTTTAATGTTCTCTCGTTTTTGTAGTTTCCTTATTTTTTCCACTGTCAGCAGTCTTTCTTCAAACTTAACGTCTCTTTTATTATCTTCCAGAAGCCATGGATTCATCTGGGGAGCTTGAATGCACTCAAGTTCTTCAAGACAGTGATCATGGAGAGCCTCAGGATAGGTTCGAAACAGAAAAGTTACATGTATGTTCTACTTTAGTCTAACTGCCTTTGGTTAATGTCTTCTGTGTTATTATATTTTGGCATTAAACGTCCTTTCATTTCTTTCTTAGGTTGGATGTTTAGCAATAAATGCCACTCAGTTTCCTGTATTTAATGGAGATACATTTATTGGACGTGATCCTAAACGCTGTTCTATTATTCTTGACAGGAAGGTTTGTACAATTAACATCAACTGAGTGTAAAAGAGCATAAGCCTCTATCTTCTTCAACTGCTTCCACTTATTACTTCCTAATTTTATTCAGCAATTTTCTATTGCAGAGTATATCATCTCATCATGCTTTGATCGAAGTTGAATCTGGTCATCATCTTATCTGTGATTTAGGCAGCAGCAATTCAACTCGACTTAATGGGGTATGGCTTTCTGTGCATAGGCCTATATTGCTTTAACAGGACACTATGAAGTTTTGAGAGGTCTTATTATTTTTGTTTTGCTGTATTTTGTGATTTACAGATGCTTTTAAAACCTCATGTGCGTTATAATCTCACTAATGATGCTAATGTACAATTCGCAGACTTGAAGGGAATTTATTACATAATTGAACCTTCTAGGGTAAGTTCCTGTTTTTGTGCATGAGAATTGTTTACTGATCTTAACAAATGTTTTTAAATATTTGTATCTATTACTCATGTCTAATGGTTTCATCATGATTTTTTAGGCGATTAGCTGTGATACCTCCAGTGACGGTAAATATGGAATCCTGTTTCTTTAAACAAGTAAAACTTTTGCACTGTTGAAGCTCCTATTTTTATCTTTTAACAGATATATTTGCCACACCTGCCAAAAGTAGAATTGGATCAACCCCTAGGAACAGTAGTTTGGTAATGTAAACCGTTATTACGCTTTGGTTGTTCTAATATATAATCTAAACTAATCCTTCAATACCAAATTTTTAATTCTGCAGAACTTTTCTGGTGATGAATCTGTAATTGGCAGTACACCTATGAGATCAAATTTCAAACAACCTCTTCCAAGGACTGCTTCTAAGCCATCTCAGCGAGATTCAGACAGCTTTTACCAACAAGCTACATCATATCAATCAGCTACTAATACTCCTGTGAGCAATTCAAGTAAAATAGATATTTATGAGGCAGAAACACAAACAGAAGAAGAAAGTGATACTTCCCTCTTCAATGATACAGTTGATAACAGCAATTGTCAGAGAGTGATATCATCTTTTGTAGTACCATGCACTCAAGAAGTATCTGGAAATTCTAGTATACAGTTACATTACGAAGCTGATCAAAGTATGAATGATTGTTCTGTTGAATTGCATGAAGATGGAAATTCACTGATAAAAGAAAAGGCAGCTTCATCCAACATATTAGATGACTCCAGAAGCAAAAAAGGTGATGAGTTAGATAGAGAAGAGCTCAGCGATGTTGAGCAAAAATTCATAGAGGAGGAAATGGACAGAATAGAAAGGAGTATGAGCTCAGAAATGTTAGAAAACACTACTACTGTATCTGCACTGCAAGATGAAGAGAAGAGTACAGGAGAAGTCTTACAAGATAATAAAAATCCACCCGAAGTGAGAAGAGAAACAACGTCTATACATTCCCCCAACCAAGCAACAAAATTAACAAATTACAATATTACTGGTAATGTCAACATCTGTGAGGCTGCACCACAAATTGTCAATACTGTTGCCTCAAAATCTGAAACAGATGATGAGGGAGTCTATGGTGCTTGCACAGAAGCACCTAGGAAAATGGATGACGTCCATGATGCTGCAACCCAGATGCTTGAGGCACCCAAAGACAATGATGATAGAGGAAAGCAGGCTACCCCCTCGATAGAAAACAAAAATGC